TTAGTATTCAGCGTACTGTACATGGTTTTTATTCACAATTATGTTGAAAGCATGCAAACTTTACAGTCGATTATAAAAGACGATATGGTCGCACGTGATAAGACAGGGAATGTGACTGAAATTATTACTATTGCTACTCAAAGTATCTGATCGCTGATGCCACACAAGAAACGTGTGTAAGGTATCCACGAAATATTTAAATAAAACATGAGATTTATATTGAATATATGAACATTTAATTTAAATGGCCGCTGTAAGCAGGGTGATTAACACCATTTCACAGATATACACGACAAATGAGACTACTAACATATGTAATTCTAGGACAATGTCAGTGATATCAAAACTGTATAAACAGACAAGAATACCGCTATTTTTGGCCAGTATCATTACTGCGCTGTAGCATCATTGCATGACATTCACCGGTGCTCATCTGTACCGCACTATGATCGAAAATAGAGTGGTTCTTGTTTCATTCGAACGGCGATATCCATTCTAAACTTGTCGTTGTTCATCTCTTTAAATATTGGCGGCCGGCTATTGGCGATTGCGTATGGTTAAGAGCACACAAAAAGGGCAAATGCAGTTGCTGTTCATCCATTACTGTTTCTCCAACGCGAGTGTTCAGCACACACTTATACCGCATCTTAATTAACGATTTTTAATAGTAACACTGTACATAAATAACCGTACACCTGCAATTTCAAACGAACGAATGAATGTAATTTAAAATAATGTATAATCAATGAATTTTCTTCTCCAGTAGCTTCTGCAAGCTCTCAAGCGGGTTCTCCTTCACAGGGGACGTGTTGACGAGTATCTCTGCACTGAGTCTCGTATACTTCCTCTGGCTGTTCTCGTGATAATTGTTGTTGTCGGGCGCGAACTTTCGCTTCAGAACATTCAAGGGGCTTTCATCCAGTGCCTCTCTGAAACTGTCCGCCATATTTTTGCCGTTTTTGCCGGAAGAAACGCCGTCTTTGCTATGTTTTTTAGGCGTCAGATTTTCATCACGGGACTCGTCAATTTCGTCTTCTTTCACACGACTGCTGCTACTTTTTCCATTAATATCTGTCGATGGGTGTGCTAGCGTAGTCGTCGAATGATGGATGTAGCCAGGGCCACCTGCTGGGCGTGCTTTGTCTGTACAGGAATTGCCATGGTCGTCACTCGCGTGGCCTTCTCTATGACGGTACCACCTCTCACACTTTGGATTCAGTCGCTGCTCGCTATGCTCGCTGTCGACCGCCAAGGAGTCATTTACAGATCGATCTCTTATCCGAGCAGTATTTCCATTCGACGAGTTCGGTCCGAAGTCGTAATCATGCCTTTGTTCGCGAGCACTCTGTTCGTCAATGCGTTTTTTCCTGTCAGTTTCTGGTGGTGAGTTATTGCGAGACGATGTCAGGGTGACGGATGATTCATCAGAGGAGATGCTTCGCTGAGCGGCCGTTGGAGCCGGCTCGTTTGCTTCCCTGTCAGGCGAATTTACCTCATCTCGTCTGCTGTCACTCTGCCTTAGCTCAGCTCCTGTCACGCTTTGTTCTTGCCCGCTTTTCTGCATAACGCCCTTGGGCAGCGCTGCCATCGTAATCCCCTCGTCGTTTTCACTGTCAAGTTTCTCCCGGACAGTCGATTTTAGGTGCTGTGTCACGCTGTGAACGCTGCTGATCTGCGCGTCGCATCGCGCCGATGCGATAGCCGAGCTGCTGCTGCTACTCACCGCAATGACCGACCTAGGCGAACTTCGTCCGAGCTTTTCAGCGCGGTAGTGCTCGTGCGATAGACGGTTCGGCTGTAAACTCGCGTCGTGACAGGTCGCCCGTGAGCTCGGGGTTCTCTCTGCTCGCGTGCGGTGACCGTCACTGCTACCAGTGTACGCGAAGCTGCGGCCGTTTCTCATACTTTTCAGCAGCTCTGTCGAGTTTTTACTGTCAGTGGCGTCGAGCTCGAAACACGTGCTCACGTGGTTACTCTCTATCTTAACATTTATGAGCCGTTCGGTGTTTACTCTATCAATCATTTTCCTCTGGCTCGCGATATCATCTTTAGGCTGATTTCCATCATCGCCATGACAATCACCTTCTGACTGGAATTCTAATGCTCTTTGTTTTTCATCACCGCGAAGCATGTTGCTTGACAAACTGATACTGCCAGCGTTCTTAATCAGCTCTCCCTTATCTGTCTGCCTCTCGTCTTTATTCTCGGCGTGTGAGCTTTTCTCGGCACTTCGCCGCAACCCTTTAACTGCGCTGATGCCAGAATGAATTGCGTTCGGGGGAGAGTGATTACCAGGATAATGGTGAAACCGGTGTCTGCCCGAGTTCGGGATTGCTCGAGCATGTTGATGAGAGGGCAGGGGCTGGCTTACACAGTCAGGCAATCCAGCAGGATTTGCACCAGTCATGGCCACTGCATCCGTATGCAGGGGATGCATCTCGCCGGCTCTGGAGAGACCGTATGATTGATTGTTCTTGGCATTCTTAAATCGACGATCAATTAAGGACTGAATCGCACTTAGGACAGAGTAATCTCCGGCGTCACGGCTCGCACTTGCAGGCGTGCCTTTTCTGTCCGCCTGCTTCTGAGATTTTCTGCTGAGGTCGAGAGGCTCGGGCATCTCCTCGCAGTTATGATTCGCTGCTAGATTCGCCTCGGGAAGCTCCTTTCTCCACCTGCTGTGTGCGGGCAAACAGGGCGAGATCGCAGACGCCAACGCTTTCGGAGGGGTCACGGGGGGAGGCGTTACTTTTCTGCTGTGCTGTGTTAGCACGGGTTTCCGCGCAGGCAACACCTCTGGCTTCCTTCCGCCGTCCCCCTTTCTGCTGCCGTATCGTTTCGCGGTGACGCATTGCCGGACGTGCGCTGAGAAATCGTCCGTGTTGACGGGCACGCCGCAATACTCGCAGCGGATTCGCGCTGTCTGATTGAAAGGAACGTTGCCCTGACTCGGCGCACTATCGTTAACTATCGAGTCATCAGCCACTGACACTAGCGTGCTGTACCTTAGCTTATGTGCCCTCTCGGAGATCGACTTCAGGATGTGTCCCTTGTAGTGCTTGTGGCAGGTGATATGCTCCGTCAACTCTGCCAGATTAGCGAACGATTCCGAGCAGACTTTACATTTGAATGTGTCCTTTATGAATTTTTCGTTGATCACGGGCTCGTCCATTTGGCCGGGACTTACAATGTTCGTATAGTGCTGCGTGCGCATCATGTGAATGGTGAGATCAGGTAATGACTTGAACGATTCCCCACACCGGATACATTTCAGTATCTGTTGGGTCTGCTCGGACCCGTTCACCAGCCACATGTCCTGCCCGCGCACAAGCTTGTGCGGGTACAACTGCGTGCTGTGATTTGTAGCGTGACCCGTCTTTCCCATATGCACAGTGTAGCAACGCAAGCTACTGAACGATTCACCACAGGAGCACGTGAAGCCAGTAATGTCGCTCGAGTGCGACGTTCCTTCCATTTTCGAATTACGTACAGTCAGCGGTGGTTCCTGAACAGAGGGCCGAGAGATGGGATCCTCACAGATAGTAACACCTTGGCTTTGGCAGGGAGAGCCCACCTCTCTGACAGCCCGTCGCCGGTTGTCACCTTGCAACCTCTTCGCGGGATGCACTAAAGAAGTCCCAAACTGATTTGACCTGGTGTGAAATTTTTGAGATTTTTCGACGACAGAGCAATCTCGCTCCGCGGCAGCAGCAGCATTTCCCGCAGACGAAGAGCAGTCCTTGTGTCTATTCGCCAGCTCTCGTCTATACTGACTCATGTAGCGCATCTTTGGGGTCGGCACCGCTCTGCTGTTCGGCGTTGTTGGGGTACTACTGACCGGGACTGATGACGACACGGGCAGCCGCACCGAGCTCTTCGAAGAGCGAGTCTCAAGTATCGGGTGTTGGCATGGCTGCGCCGCCACGTCAGACAACTCCTGAAGTATTGAGTATGATTTGCGCTCGAGCTCCTTGAGTCGGTGAAAGGCCGGCAAATCTTCGAGCGACGTTCTCGGCGACGGCGTATCGACGGGAAGCGCTTCGCGTGCGTTCGCATCGTGGTCGGCTATCGTCGACGTCGCGTGGCCGGCAGTCAGCAGGCGATCGCTGTCTGAGTTTGTAGCTGGAGGAGAGCTGGCGCCATCGTCCGACGAGTCATCGCTGGTGTCATCCTGACCTTCAGGGAGATCACCGGCGTTGCCTTCCTCGTCGTCGCTGCCATCTGCAAAGAAAGGAACCATTACCTAGATCGGTGTACGATATGGCTTACGAAGAAAGCAAAGACGAAAGCAAAGAGCCACTTCTAACGAAATCAGATAAATAAAAATGGGTGATTGCGAAAACCCCCTCAGACAAGCGGGCCGATAAACACGTAATTTCTGGCTTAGAGGTACCTGTGGTTAGCTACTGTTTAAAACGCCACACGAGAGAGCGATGTTGAGGGGTATTTCAGCTTGTTTTTCCAATAATAACCTCAGCAAGAGATGACATCACCACTAAGCGTCAAACGCCGTCGAGACGTTGCCGGCCACTGCGTGACCTAAACTGTTCTGTGTGAGATGTTTGCGTTTGAGAGGGCCACTGCACTCTATAACCCATGGAAATCTTCGTGACATCGACAAGATAAACACAGAATTCCCGATTATTCAGTACTCCACGGGTTCGTATATAAATAGAAAGACAGATTGATGGATGGATGAACTGATGGATGGATGGATGGATGGATCGATGGATGGATGAATGGATGGATGGATGGATGGATGGATGGATGGATGGATGGATGAATGGATGGATGGATGGATGGATGGATGGATGGATGGATGGATGCATGCATGCATGCATGCATGCATGGATGGATGGATGGATGGATGGATGGATGGATGGATGGATGGATGGATGGATGCATGCATGCATGCATGGATAGATGGATTGATGGCAGGATTGATAAAGATAGATAAATTGGCTGGTAGATATGGATAGATAGACAGATAGATAGATAGATAGCTAGACAGACAGACAGACAGACGGACGGACGGACGGACGGACGGACGGACGGACGGACGGACGGACGGACGGACGGACGGACGCGGAGGGCGGGGGGCGGCGGGCGGGGGGCGGCGGGCGGGGCGGGCGGGCGGGCGGGCAGGCAGGCTAGGCAGGCAGGCCGCCAGATAGATAGATAGATAGACTAGATAGATAGATAGATAGATAGATAGATAGATAGATAGATAGATAGATAATAGATCACCCCACTACGCCACTACGCACTATCAGATATGATAATAGACAGAGCAGACAAGACAGACAGACTAGACAGATAGATAGATAGATATGATAGATAGTTAGATAGATAGATAGATGATAGATAGACAGACCAGACACGACAGATACGCATAGATCAGATAGACTAGATACGATAGATAGATACGATAGATAGATAGATAGAATACGATACGATAGATAGATAGATAGGATAGATAGATAGGCTAGATAGATAATAGATAGATAGATAGATAGAGTAGATAGATAGACCTAGATAGATTAGACTAGATAGATAGATAGATAAGATAGATGGGGCGAAATAGATAGATAGATAGATAGATAGATCAGATAGATAGATAGACTAGATAGATAGTATAGATAGATAGTATTAGATAGATAGCAATAGGACAGACAGATAGATTAAGATGATAGATAGATCCAGATACGATAGAATCAGATAGCCATAGCATAAGATACGATCAGATCACGCTAGATGGACTGACCTACGATAGCACTAGACCGACCAGATCACGACTAGATACGATAAGCTAGCATAACATAAATAACCTAAGATTGCATAGACATACCCCAAGATGGATAGATAGCCGGATAGATGGCCGGATAGATTGCTGAAGAGTAGTTGGAGAGATAGATAGATAGACATATAGATAAACAGATACACTAGCCTAAATACGATACACCCTCAGCTAATCATACTCACTCACTCGCTACTATCACATATACCTATACCCCCTACCCTCAACTACAATATATATACTATATCCCCTATACTATACCTACCTACTATATACTCTACCTATATATACTATATATATAGACGCCGATTTCCACTTCGTGCACACTCGTCGGCACTGATTACAGCCGTTACTCTTCGTCCAAACTGTTGCTTTTCAGTTTCTTACTTCGACCGCATATTAGCATGAGCTAATACCACCTGGGATGCACCGTACAAATCAAACTGACAAGCGCGGATTACGATCTGGAAACAGGAGATTTGTGCTCCTTTCTCAGCGTGCACAACAACAAGTTCTTGTCAGGCGAGATCGCGCGGTCGCATACATACCAAGACGTGTCTACCGTACAACGGAATCATGCCGATTGGCCGTTGTTTGCTCAGCGGGTCGAGCGGGAAGGACACCCGCGTGTATAGCGAGCTGTCGGAGAGAGATATCACACGTCTAACGGCTACGGTGGCACAGCCGCACCCGAGTTGTAACGGCTCGCGGACACCCACATAAAAATCAAGAGCTAATCATAAGGTATTATTAGCTCTTGGTATAATCGTACGATTTTTCTCCGAATATCCCGGACGCTGCCGATTCGTGCATGACCAGCTCGTCTGTGTGACTGCATGCATGTTTTTATTTTTATGTTTGTGTTTATGTTTATGTTTATGTTTATGTGTTTTTATGTTTATGTTTATGTGTTTTTATGTTTATATGGCGTGTTAGCTCAGCTTCCCGCCACATTTATGATCAGAGATTCGCGCCATTCACTGGCCATCTCCTAACCTGCACAACACGTTCTGTGCGACGGACGATCTCGCTACTTGGCACGTGTTTTCTCAGTTCAAGTACAAAATTGCTTGACATATATAAGCTCCTCTCACGCGATACACCTCCACTGATAGGTCCATATTCGACATGCATATAATGAATTCAATTGTTCCGCGAAATTCACGCGGGAGAGGGGATGCTGTCATAAAATATCAGTCGTATAGGGTCCGTAATTTATGAATCATGTGATTATGACGGATTAATTGGATTCATGAGGAATAGATACGCATGTGGGTATATGATATTATCAGGAGTGAATAATAGAGATTCTATTCTCTAGAAAATCTATATTATTCACTCCTGATATTATTCTTTATACAAGCAGCTATTTTGTGTCGGGCAGTCGTAAACGAGAGTGGAGCGTGTATGGCACACATTCCCGCCGAGATAACCAGTTACTTAAAAGGTTTCTCCCCCTATGTGCTCGGACGCTCCTTCTCGATTCTCCTTCCTTCTTGCCAAAATTCATGCTGTCTTGCAATCGGTTACCGGCGCCAATATTTATGTTAGACATTGCTAAACACTGGACCGTGTACACTGTTGCACATATCCGGCATCGTAGCAATGACGCGTTATTTTCATTCGGTTATTAAGTTTCCCTCACCGATAATAAGGCTCGAACTATAAACAACCAGCAAAAGCAAGCAAACCGCACTTCCTGATCTACACCTGATCCTGATACCTTTAATTACTAAAACCACAACACTATTAACAATTAAGAGGGTGGCCTGACCCTACTCATTGTTGACACTAATTAAGAAAATTATCCTTCATCGTGCTATGTTGCTGACCTTGCGGACAAGATATCAGTTATAATAATTACGGAGCATGAAACGCTTACCTAGGGGGAACTCACACTAGGTCCAGCATGCCCCATACTACATGTGGCGCTACGTGAAGGTTCCCGAGTCGTACGCACATATACGCACACGCGTATAGAAGAAAAATACGCTCACTTGCACAGACACACGCGCACGCACGCACGCACGCACGCACGCACGCACGCGCGCGCGCACACATACGTACGTACGCTTATGCACGCACACTCACACACATGCACGCACGCACGCACGCACGCACGCATGCACCTATTCATGTAGGTGCACGCACACACACACACTCTCTCACACATACACAAACACAACACGCTCTCTCTCACATATGCACAAACACACGCACGCACGCACGCACGCACTCACGCACGCACGCACGCACGCACTCACTCACTCACTCACTCACTCACTCTTTCACACACATATACACGCCTACACGCAAACACGCGCCCACGCATGCACGCACAATCCGTCTTCTGTCGACTCGCCTCGTCATACAGATTTCTGACAACCCACAATGATATAGCAATGGAAGTTGTTCTGGCTGTCTGACATTCCACGTTGCAGAAGATAGACAGCCTCTTGCGTTCCATGTAACTTTGAACATCAATTAAATTCAAGTGTTATATGAATATATCTCAACATGATTTCTATGACAGTCGGGGTTCTGTAAAACTTCCAACTAGTCTTCCTGACGCTGCAAATAACAAGGTGATATCATGATCATATCCACAACAGAGTACGTGATTTGTTAGCGACATAAGACAAAAACCAACGAAAGAAAAGGAATGCTGGTGTACGTAATTTATCACAAAATAATTGCGTGAATCTAATTAAGATGGATGGAAATGAACACGACGTAAACATTAGGCCTTGATCACGTGACCAGGCAGGCGATTACAGCAACTCGGTAGATCATGTCTCATCATCTCTTCTACAGCATGCATTATGTGGAAACAATGACGACTGCCATAGTGATCAGTTCTGAGCATTAATTTTGCCTCGAAGAAAACTTGTTAACAAATCCTGACATGTGCATTATAATAAATTATTTCACAGTCTTGTGAATAGAGAATGCATTTCTGATAGTCGGCAACGATTAGTGCTCGAGTGTGTGTACTCGCCATTGACGTGCTCACAGAGTGATATGTAGACTGTTGCCAACTAAAATGCTTCTCATCACCGGCATGGATCTTATCATTAGAGTACTGACGTGTGCATAATTATAAATACGTCTGCAAACTCTGCGTCTCTTATAATAATTTATTGCTATCATGTAATTATTAAGAAATCTGTTTACGCGCTGCGACAGTAACAAAATCGTAGTCGAGACAATAACGAGTGTCACTGCCGCCACGAGACAACGATCGGCGGAATTACCCATCTACCATCGGCGTCGTTTGGATCATTAAAATTACATGCAAACTCAAGATATTTTGTTACCGACATTACTGCAAATAACGCCACATGAAGTAGACATGGTTCGCGACGATTTTCAGTGTACCCGGCGTATACCAGTAACGCCCAGCCAACCATTGTACAGTCGTTAA